GTGAGGAGTGAGGCAAGGAGAACTGAGAGTTTGTTACAGGCTCGCCATAGACAATGATATGTGGGATATGCAAATGATGTCCAGCACATTTGTGAGTTTGCTATTTCTTTTGATATTTGAATGTTAGAAATTTAAATTTGGTCTTCCTCTTCTAGTTGTACTTTTGGTTATAGCTGATGTGGACACGGTACCATTACTTTAAAGAACACGCGTGGCATATTTCTGTGCCCCCTTTCTGGTAAGCAGTTAGACAAAACTGTAATCGTAAGTATCTTTTCTTTGCATCTCTTGCTGCCTTTTCTATTTTGCACATTTTATGAAGCTAGTTCTTATAAAGTTATTTTCTTTTCTGTAAAGAATGATGAGTCCTCTATCATCCCCACCTCGGTAGTGCAGATTATCAGGAACATCACAGCATGTATTTTTTCTGCTCATTTAGGTCCACCTTAAATCAGACAGGTTTGTCTTTGAAGCTTTCAGGCAGTTCTCTTGCGCTTCTGCGTGACAGACATGAGGCTACCTGTGCAGTGAATGCTGGAGCATAAGAACGGGGTCTCATCTGCCCTGACCTTGGAAAGAAGGATGGCATGGCAGAACTCCAGAGTGCAAAAGGAAGGTTGTGAGGCTACGCAGCAGGGTCAGAGAGGTTACGAAAAGCAAGAAGGTATCCTTTGAAAACCTGATGTCCGTATGCAAATGAAGAAAACAGAAAGGATCGTAACCTCTGGCAGATTCAATGTGAAGTGCAGAATTGAGGCTAAAAAAGAGTTTAAGGGGCACTTCGCAAAGGAATCAAAAGCGACAGTAGGTCTTTCTTCACAGCAGAGCAAGAAGCTAACAACCTAAAAATATTTTTTGACATCCAACGTTCATACTGGAAGAAGCCAGGGACATTCCCCACATCGAAATCTTAGTTTGTAGAGAGAATCATCAGAAAATCTCTCTGAAATTGAAGTGAATGTTAGGGTCACTACTAACCTAGGAATACTAACCAGTTACCTGAACTGGGTAACGATTACCCAAAAGCTGTAGAGGAACTAGAAAGTGAAATAGCCAGGTTAGTGATGGCAATGGGTAACCTTTTGCTTTGTGCCTGAGTGGCAAATACAATGACCATTGTTAAAACAAGTCCCAGGGAGAGCTGGGCAACCAGGCCTGCCAGCCTGATGTGTACACCAAGCCGATTACCAGAAACTGCAATAACAGTGGCATGTTGGAATGGATGTATAAATATGATATACATGGGAGGGTTCAAGATTGCTTTTGTAAAGGAAATCCCACTTCTCAGAAGTCTCTGGAGTTCTTCAAAGGAGAAGGTCGACAAGCATGTGTGTAAACATGATCCAGTCGACATAGTCTACAATTTCCAAAAGACGTTTGACAAAGTTCCTGACCAAAAGCTTTTAAAGAAACTAAACAGGCATGGAATAAGAGGATAAAGGTAGGATATGTTAGTGTGACATGGAAAAGGGTGAACAATAGGGTGACAAGATTTGCTGAGAAGACTGAATTATTTAGAGTGTCAGTGCGTGAGCCAGCTGTGAAGAACTGCCTCAAGGACTGTAAGCAACAGAAAGACAGCACAATAAAATGGCGGATGAACTTGAGTGGGAGCAAATGTAAAGTAAAACACCCAGGGAAAAATACTCCCATCTTTGCATATGGAATGATGGGCTCTGAGCATTACTATTCAGGGCTCAAATTTT